ATGCTTTGTTGTCATTTCAACAGTCTTCACAGCATCTTCACAGGGAGTAGATTCTGTATCAAGAAACCACTTTTTTGGGGCGCCTGGGTGGCTCAGATGGTTAAGCGTCTGCCTTCGGCTCAGGTCATGATCTCCAGGTCCTGGGATCGAGCCCCGCGTCTGGCTCCAGCTCAGCAGAGCCTGCTTCTCCCTCTGCCTCTCCCTCTGCTTGTGCTCTCTCTCTCTCTCAATGAATAAATAAAATCTTAAAAAAAAAAAAAGGAACCACTTTTTTGTTTCTATGTTATGGAGACAGCTTCTTCCCTTAAATCTCATGAACCAACCCCTTCTAGCTTCAAACTTCTCTTCTGCAGCTGCCTCCCCTCTCAGCCTTCACAGAATTGAGGAGAGTTAGGGCCTTGCTCTGGTTAGGAATGCTGTGGCTGGTTTCATCTTCAATCCATATCTTTCTCTATATCAGCAAGAAGGCTGCTCTGCTTTCTTATCATCCGTGTGTTAACTGGAGTAGCACTTTAAATGTCCTTCAAGAACTCTTCCTTTGCATTCACGACTTGGTTAACTGGTCCAAGAGGCCTCACTTTTGGCCTGGCTTGGCTTTCAACATGCCTTCCTCACCAAGCTTAATCAGGTCTAGTTTTTGACTTTAAGTGAGAAACACTTGACTCTTCCTTTCACTTGAACATGTAGAGGTGACCGTAGTGTTATTAACTGGCTTCATTTCAGTATTTTTGTGTCCCATGGAAGAGGAGGGAGATGGGGGAATGGCCAGTTGGTAGAGCAGTTAGAAGACACACAATATTTATGTGTGGGCATAGTTCATGGTGCCCCTAAACCATCACAATAGTAACATCAGAGATCACAGATGACAGATACTAACAAATACGATAATGAAAAAGTTTGAAATATTGCAAGAATTGCCAAAATGTGACACAGACACAAAGTGAGCAAATGCTGCTGGGAAAAGGGCATAAATACTATACAGGGTTGCCACAAACCTTCAATTTGTCTAAAAAAAAAACAAAAACAAAAAAACACACAGGAACTGCAAAGCACAATAAAATATTTTCCCTCCTTAGTCTGGTCTCCTAGCTCCTAAGGTAGAACCTCCATGGATACATTCCTGCTCCCAGACATTCTGCTAACTCCGTGCCCTTTTAAAGTTGTTTGAAGAACTACTGAGAAGATACATATGAACTTTCGTAAACAATATAATGATACAACAGATGCAAAAGTCCTCCAGGTGGGTTAAGAAACCTTTAGGGGTGCCTGGGTGGCTCAGTCTGTTAAGCCTCTGAGAGTCCCATGTTGGGATCTGCACTCAGCAGGGAGTCTGCTTGTCCCTCTCCCTCTGCCCCTCCCCCAGCTCCTGCTCTCTCTCAAATAAATAAATCTTTAAAACAAAGAAACCTTTAGCTCCTAGGTGCTCCTTCCTGACCCCACCTCCATTCTTATCCCTTCCTAGGCAACCACCAGCTTACACTCCATATTCTTCATTTTGAATTTTCATTTTCTTGCTTTTCCTTATGGTTTTATGCCAATTTTATCTCTAAACATGTATACATATAGCTTCATTTTGCCTGTTTGTGTATGCAATGGAGTCACACTGTACATATTCCTTCATGACTTTTTCACTCATTTTGTTGCTATAGTCTTATTACATGGAGACACCACAATTCCTGTGTCCATTGCTGTCTGACGGCTCTTGGGGCTGTTCCCAGGTTTTGGCTTTTGCTGTTCCTAACAGCACCGTGAATATTCTTGTACGTGCCTTCTGGTGTATAGATGTATATTTGTGCTGGGTATGTATCTGAGTGTGGAGCAGCTTGGTAACAGGACATGCACGTTTAACTTGATACTCGGTAATGTCAAACTAAGTTTTCCAAAGTGACTGTACCAATTAATTTACACTCCTGTCAGCAATAAATAAATGTTCCATTTGCGCCACATCCTTGCCAACATTTGGCTGCTGTCAGACTTGAAATCTGCTCCGTAGCTGAAATGCAATGGTATCTCAAAGCAGTTTAATAATGTGTCTTTTTCCTCATTGCTGAGGTGGACTGTTTTTATGTTCCTGCCCTTTCTACTCTCATTAACATTTGCATCAAAGGTTCCCCAGGTAAAAGGAAGAGATTAACAGGCTCCCTAAAGTGGCCATCTCTGACAGGCCCTGATCCAGGACTAAGGCTCCACCAGCCAAGCCAATTACAGGAATGTTTTAGGTGCCTCTGCAGTGCACCTGCTCTTGTGCACTCACAGGGCTTTGTCCTAGAAGCTGGGGGGGCAGAGGTGAAGAACCCTGATCATCAAGAGGTAGAGACAGACCAGAAGTCATATATACCGTCTCCATGTGGAGTAAACCAAAGTGCTCTAAGAAAACACTGAGTACCACGGAGCGTATGAGACAATCCTTGGTGGAGGCAATCCAGAGCAGGGAGGTCAGGAGAAGAGTGTATTTGGAGCACAGAGCAGGTGCGCGCATACGAGGGAATCAAAGCAGAGGTCTGCAGGTGACAAGCCTGGTGTCTGGCAGGAGACTACGGGCCTATTTAGAGGCCTCTGGAAAATGCTGAGGGCTTGAGGCGAGGTAAGTTTGAACAATAACATCCTGGCTACAGCCTGGCAAGAGACTGGCCGTGTAAAAACCAGTCAGGAAAAGTGCTAAAATGCAAAGTATTGATTAGTTGTGCCGACAACACTGCACCGTGGCATGTGAAAAGCCGGGAGTCCCCGGGATGGCGCCAGCAGCTCTGAAAGCTCCTATTTGTCAGAGGGGGATGGGAGGCAGAATGGAAAGGTGGCGAAGAGGCAGGGTCCGGGGAAGTCATGGACTCAGCTCTCACTTCAAATACTTGCTCCGTCACTATCTAGCTGTGCCATCCTGAGCAAGGATTCCCACCTCAGCCTGTTTCTCCATCCACAACTGGGTGGGGACAGGAGCACTTCCCGAGAGAGCGGTCTGAGGAAGATGGAGGATGGAGGATGAAGGATGAAAGCGGCCAGTGCCTGGCACAGGCTGTGGCGAACACGCATTTGGCTAACAGTTAGCACTCTACAATCACTCAGGATGGAACAGAAATATTTTGGAAAGGTTTTTGGCTAAGGATTAACACAAAATAGGAGTTTCTGCTCAACAACCAATGCACAAGAAAATGAAGTGCACGTGGGTGACTAAAGGGCGCAGGACAAGCAGCATTCACCATTCACGTAAGCACTGACTGAAGAAGGGCTGCGCCGTGCCTGACTCAGCCAAAGGCTGGCAACGGCAATAACCAGTCGATCCATCCCCAATCCCCAGAGGGGAAGGAGGGAGCACACACCCACACACCGCTCTGTGGGCAGAGGCACGCAGCCAAGGGCACATGGAGTGCTGAGAGGGAGCTTGGCGGGGGTTACTGCCCTAAAGATCAAGACCAAGCGGTCAAATCAAGATAAGCTGAAAAATGGAATCCGAAAAGCCAACAACACGAAAACGTAAAGCTCAGCAACTTCCATGAAGCTTCTTCAGCAGCGAGCGCTCATCATCGTCAACACGAAACCCAAACTCTATTCAGCACTCGTGCAAAGAATCCCGAGACCACCACTCAGTAAGAAGGCACACAGGGTGGATATTAATACCTTTTAATGTTTCACATTTTTTTTCCAGAAGATATATAAAATACATAGAATTTAATATGAATCTCAGTACAGTGGGCAATTACAGAATCTAAATAGGACAAGTCGATAAAGTATAATCCTTCTTGTAGGGGCCAAACATTCCATTTCACTAAGAAGAGAAAATCACAACATGATTAGGCACAAACATATCATACTGCCTATTGTTCTAACTTCTGAGACTGGCAGGCTTGGAAGAAAAAACTATTAAAAAAATAAATAAAACTGAACACAGTCAACTGCCTCAGTTTCCCCCCGTTCTCCTTTCCCAGGGTCTTCATAGAACCACGTGGGTGAGGGCGTGAGGCAGAGCCGTGTAGGGCAGGTTTAGGCGCTCTGCTGACTAAGTGCCAGGCAGACGCAGAAGCTCCCTGAGGTGACCAAGAAATGTACTGTGGATCAGCTGATCGGCGTTGCCGCTGAGTATCCGGGCTGAGGGGAGGGGTGACCTGCTGACGGGAGGCCTGATGGCCACAGCACAAGTTTCAAATCCAACTTCAAGAGAGACAAGGTGGCCCACACGTAATCCTGGAGTAGTCAGCACATTCACGCAGAAATCTAGAACTGCAGAGCTAATCCCCCTCTGTCACACTACAAGTTGGAATGCTAATGGAGCATAAACACTTCGGCCACGATTCCGCCAGGACCAGTCATTCATTCAACAGAAAAAGTCAAAACCATTTGGTTTTTAAATGAAAATCCTTCACATCCACCTGTGGTCAAAAATAATAACTTATGACATTAATAGCTTCCTTAAAAAAGCAATTACCACAAAAGAGTTAAATCATAAGTGTGGGAAGACCTATTTTCCTATGAATGTAGCTCGTAGGAAGGGACAGATACAAAGCACATGTGAAAAGTAAGGCCGTGATAGTCTATGTTTTTAGCTTAAAGCTAAAGTTACCCCAAAAAAAGGTATTACACAAGTTAAATGTTTCTTACTGCAAAAGAGCTCACTTAGACCAACACAATAAACTATATAAAGGAATACATTTATTGTTTTTCCCCCTTTAAGGTGCCCCTCTGCCTCCCTGATGAGTCCTGGTGGGAATCCTCCTCTAGTGAGAGTTCCACGCACCAGAGGATTACTTCCAACAGGCTGGCCAAGCAGCCACCTCCTTTCCTAAACACAATTACAACTGATAATAGTCGGTGATGTAGCACATGGAGCAAATGTGGCCAGATTCAACCATAACTGTACTTGTTCTGGACACAGAACTCATCAGGGGAGACACTGCTCAACGGTCACAGAGAACAGGACACGGGAATCCTGGGACAATTCTCTTGCGCGCGACAAGCCTATGCAGCCTCCAAGGGACCAAGTCATGACTCCCATGCACAAGGCGCCTTACTTGCATACTCTAGCCAAGACTTACTTTTGGACAAAAATCGACTACTAACATGTCTCTAGTCTCATTTACACCTTGGAGGAAAAAAGAAAAAAAGAATCAACATTAGAAAGCTTAACAGTGAGAATCAGCAAACGCAGAAAGGGAGGGTCATGCTCAAACTGCTCGACAGCTGTTCCATCACTGCCCACCGCATGGGCTTGAGGCCAGTGACTTCATGGATGCACCGCGCCGATGCACTGCCGAATGTCAGTTCCAGTCCATCACGGCGACCCCAGTGAGACGCTGCCTGCCTTCCATTCACCACCTCCTACCCAGGAGATCCAAGGGGGCCTTGGGTGCTGTGAGCACAGGACATGCATGTGCCAAAGCGCAAGACCCTTCCTAAAACTTCCCCTTGGATTTGGGCAAGGAAACAGGGCAGTGGTTTGGAGTGCTGGCGGCAGCATCCACACTGGGGCTTAACCTCAGCAGCCGGCCTGGAGGATGCTTCCCCCAGAGCGCTTGGTCACCGACAGAGTCGTGAATACCTGCGGGGAGGAGAGAGCAGGAGATTTTCAGACACCCGAGCAGATGAATTAACAGCGAGCAGTGCAGATAACACCATACCTACCTATCAAGAGTGACTTAGAGGACTACTTAAAACGAATACAACAGAAAAGTAATATGACCAAGGATATCACAACTTCTCCAGATAAAAGGGGAAAAACATTTTAAAACCAAGGTAAAAGAGAAAAAAATTGAGCTTATATCAACTTTATTACCATGAGGGTGATTAAAGCAATTAAATGCATCACCCAGGTTGCTTGTCAATTCTCTAAAAGAAATGCATGGTGAAATATTCTGGATACGCAGAAAGAAAAGTGTAAGTACACTGTTACAAACACCCATGTGCCTACTCAGCTTGGGGATTACAAATGTGGCTAGAGCCCTCCCCAATCAGTGCTTACCAGTCCTCTACATTTCCTGCATTTCTTCTGTGAGCTTTTAAAAACTTTACCTCTGAATAGCAAAGTGATATATGTACTCCTCTGCACCTGCTTCCTTGGCCCCATCCTGCATTTCTGTACCTCATTCACCCATATGGGTACAACTCTGCACTCAACAGTATTCCATTAACTACAGTACACTATATACACTGTATACTATAGAACCCAATTTCCAACAGTGAATATATATTACAAATTACATATCTAGGCTCCTATATTACTAATATGCTAATTGCAATATGCTCTGGGTCACTCCAGCAGTCTCCTTGCACCCACAGCTAGAGGTACAATTGCTGGGTTGGAGGATTATGTGTCACTTCTATGTGACTGGATTCCCAAGGTCCCGGACCAATGGATACTCTCATCTGCAGTGACTGATGAGTTCTGCCTCCTGTCACATCCCTGCAAACATTTGGTGCTTGTGGACTTAGAGCCTTAACATCTTCAGGTGGCTGTTTTAACTGTCTACTACTCAAGAGCATCTATTCACAAAAACAATGATTCTTTAGTGAACAAAGTCTACTCACAGATTAAAATACACAGAAATTATACTGATCTTAATATGGCAGATTTAGGGTAAGTCCAAGAATCTCATTTTTTGCACGAGTCCCAAGTGATTCATTCTAACACAGGCTTGTCTTATAGTAGAATTTCTTGTGGAACACCAGCGCTGGCAATGCACTGTGAATTATGGGCAAAATCCAAAAGAAGACTAGAAGTCTACTGCATGGTAAACTAACCAACAGTTGCTAACATCTTCATAGTTTTACCAAATAGGAAGCCTACAGTCAAGATTTTTAAAAACGTATATTCCTACACATTTAGAAACAGATTTTCATTCCTGATCTAATGGAGTAATTGGTACCAAACCAGCTCCTTAGACAAAACTCATGAAACTACTTTAGACACCAGACAACAGGCAATCGCCTGAAAAAGAGAAACAAGGTGGCTTTCAACAGTCCTGGCTTTCTACCCAGAAGCATCTAAAAGACCCTGGCGCAGCTCAGAGAGAACACAGACATCTCGGGGACTTGGAGAAATAGAGTGGAGACTGGGAAGGCTGAGGTGGCTGGGATTTGTGGAGCCAAATTCCCAAGAGGAGGCAGCCACCCAGAGAAAGAGCTGTCCCCTCATCTCTGCCTGAATACCAAGCTGTGCACATCGGGCGGGGGCGGGGGGGGAGCGAACACCAGGGGCCAGAGAAGAAGTACCATCAAAGCTGAACCAGCACCAGAGCTCACTCAGGGCCGGGAAATGTTCCCGTTCGCACCAACTGCAGTCAAGGGACTTCTCTGAGCCCCTGGGGCCATCAGGAGAGACCCCAGAAAGCCACAACTAAAAACAGGGCTAGGCATTACTAGCCCCAGAGTAAAAGCTACTCTAGACCATCCTAACAAAGCTTAAAAACAAGCTTCCAAAGGATCAAATGATCCATCAGGACATTAACTGTCTACCACAAGAAAACTCCATCCTCTTTAAAGGAAGACAACAAAACCCAGATACTTGGCACAGATTCAAAGTGCTAAATAATGCGGCGGGTGGGGGCGGGGGGAGAGAAACCTGTCAACCTAGAATTCTACAGTCAACGAAAACTTCCATCCATGAAGAAAGCAAAAAGAAGACATTTCAGACAAACAAAAGCTAAGCGACTTTGTCACTAGCACAGCCACACTACAAAAATGTTACCGAAGTTCTTCCAGCTCCGGGAAATGCAACCAGAGGATAACAGCTTTTCCTCCATCACCTGCCACCCAGGGCTAGCCCATTCTTCTAAGCCCCTCCTCCTGGCAGGCTGGGCTCTGGATCCCACCCCTCACATTCTTATTTCATGTTATTACCTGAACCCACCCCTTTTTATTCTTGACCTTGCCTTTTCCATTGTTCTTCCTTCTTGGCTTTTAAACAGGCTCACCCTGCATTAATCCCCCCAAAATTCTCCCTTGACCTTATGATCACCTCTACCACCACCGTCTCTTATCCTCTTTACAGACTAAATCTTAGGCTGTTGGTACTCATGGCCTATTTTGATTCCTCATTTCACTGACCAGAGGGCACCTTGCAGTCTTCCCTTCACACAACCCTCTGTAGCACTTCTTGAGATGCCTCACCTCCCTTTTAACAACTCTTTCCTCTTCTTGTCCCATGAGAATGACTGTGACTACTCCCGTCGTCGTGGCATGGAGGTGTGCTGAGCACCCATCTCCCCCAACTCGTGGTCGCTGAGCCCCTGGGCGGGCAGGCTGTGCAGCCCAGGGCCTGCTGTCTACTCCAGCGTGCTGCACCAGTGCTGTCACTGAGGCCGGGAGGTGCTGCCCCAGGCCTCCGCCCCAGCTCTGCCCCTCAGACACCCTCACGCTACCTGTCTCATTTAGTCTGCCTCTCCCTCTTAAGCACCATCTCTCTAGCCACTGTGTCTCTCCTGAACTCTCCACCAGCAAGACCTAACCAACACCTCTTCCTGGATGACACTTCAAACTCACCCTGTCCAAGACTGCACCTGCCCCCTCCCTCTCCCTGAATCCAGCTCTGCTCAGTGAGGGCCACTGCCAGGCCACGCATCCGCAGTGAATGCTGCTTCTGTGTCCAGGCCTGCTGAGAAGCAATCAATTATGAGGTCTTACATAGCTTCTTTCCTGTCATATCTGATCTCTCTTTGTGTTAACACTGATACTTAATTCATGTCTTATAACTCTGACTGAACCACTGGGAGGTTTTTGCTAGTTTCCAAAACAGAGTGCCCCATGAGGACCTTTTGTGTGGACCACATATTATACACTTTCACCCTATTAGATGTGAGGGGCCCAGGGCTTGCTTTGGCCAGGGACATGGATGGAAGCAGGATGCGTCGCTTCTGAAACCCATGAGCACGGGTTTAGCGTGCTCTCCTACATCTCCTTCCCCTCTGCGACTTAGCCAGAGACACCCTGGGAAGGGGCTGCTTCTACCAGTCGGGCCCTGGACTGAAGGGAGCATGAAACAGAGTTGCAGCTGACCCATGATGACCACAGGGCACCGGCAATGAAGAGACCTGTTTTTATAAGCAAAACAACACCACCACCACCCAAACTGTCCATCTATACTGCCCAGTCATGAAAACGTAAATGGGCTTTGTGTTCAATTCATTAAATTTAGAAGCATATTTCGTTATTGAGTACAATTAAGATTTCAATCCAAACCTTTCTGGTCACACCAAGTAGGCTGGAGGGAAACACCAGTAAGTTTCGGTAGAGTGCATCTGTCCTCCCCTACACCCAGGCTGACCTTCTCCAGCCACTATGTGTCTTCCTGAGACTGGAGGCCATGGCTTATTCAAAAGAGTCCCTGGGGGGAAGCAAGACTCATCGAGTACCCATATCTGTGTCGGCACACCTGGACACCTGGGCAAACTTTTTGGTCAGCTACCCCCTTGATTCCTGAGAAATAACTAGTTTCCTGGCTTTCAATAAAGAGGAAAGATCAAAGAAATCAAGGCCACTTTGACTTATGCAGGTCAAAGCAACAGAATCAGCATCAAAACTACTTTTGAATAAAAAGAGAAAAACTTTTGTGTAAAAGAGGAACATTACTGAGAAAAGCCCTGGGTCCATTTCAGTCTTAAAGTAGTGACAAAAAGCCTTTTTATTTCTTATATACCAGTATATATATATATCAGCAACACCTTAAAAAATTCAGACCCAAGTAATAATGGGCAGTATTTTAAAACATTAATAATATGAAGCCAGAAGAAAATATGAATGATTCACATTTTTAAAAAATAGGTTAGCAAAGTGGCGCCTGGGTGGCTCAGTTATTAAGCGTCTGCCTTCAGCTCAGGTCATGATCCCAGAGTCCTGGGATCAAGCCCCGCATCAGGCTCCCTGCTTCTCCCTCTCCCACTCCCCCTGCTTGTGTTCCCTCTCTCACTGTGTCTCTCTCTGCCAAATAAACAAAATCTTAAAAAAAAAAAAAATAGGTTAGCAAAGATATGTAAAAATCCTTGAAAGTTAGTCCTTTTTTACTAAAACAGAAAAAAAATTTACACTGAATTTTGTAACATTTTCATTAGCACTCCTAAATTCATGCTGATGACACTGTAAGCTATGACAACTCTTTTGAAAAGCAATAAAATTCCTTTGTTTAAAAAAATGTGCAACTGTGGACAAGGACAGAAAGACTATACATGATAATGAAAATAGCTGTGTTAGAATGATATCATGGGCAATTTAAAGTAACATCAAACACGCTGGCTTCAATTTTTATAAAGGAAAAAACATAAAGAGCCAGCGAATACATTACAGTAAATTTCAGGCTTCTGAATTTACAAGCTTAAGTTTTATTTCTCAGGAATTAATTTAGAAATAGAACTGGTAGGAGATGTGGATAGAAAAGGAACCCTGCGGCCCCTGGGCGGCTCAGTCAGTTAAGTGTCTGACTCTAGATTTCGGCTCAGGTCATGGTCTCAGGGTCATGAGATGGAGCCCCAAGTCAGGCTCCACGCCAGTGTGGAGTCTGCTTAAAATTCTCTCTCTCCTTCTCTCTCTGCCCCACCCTGCCCTGCTCAC